TTGTTGTTGTTGTTGTTGTTCCTTGTTGTTGTTGTTCCTTGTTGTTGTTGTTGTTCCTTGTTGTTGTTGTTGTTGTTGTTGTTCCTTGTTGTTCCTGGTGGCTGACGGTGTTGGTTCTGTGTCTCGGTGTCCAGTCACCTCCACAGCTCCTGCTCCTGTAGTTCCTGCTCCAGACGTCACTCTGGGGGAGTTTTCTTCTCACTGCCAGGAGACCTGCACCTCGGACGCCTGTAAGATCTCCATCTTTACCCCGCATGACGAAGGTATGAATCCAGCTCAGTAACTTCACTTCTCCGTGCTGTGAGTTCAGGATTGTCCTCCTTCGTCCAAACACACCTTCAGATGTTTGACTTGTTGTGGTTCCTGTGGTTCCTGTGGTTCCTGTGGTTCCTCTGATTCAGTGCAGTTTGCTGGTTGAACATAGTTTCATTAGAAATGGTCTGAAGTTAAAAACAAACTGAACAAAATGGTTCATGTGTTAGTTCTTTTGTTCTAACTGTAGGCAGACCTGCTGTGTGAGCGCCGTGTGTTTGGACCCGTCTGGTTCAGATTAAAACATGAAATGTGGTTCTTACATTGGTGGTTCTCAGAGGATGTCCAGTACTTTGGTCTCCATTTCCAGCAGCTGTTCTTTGTGTTTCCTGCTAGTTAACCAATGCTGGGGTGCTAACATGCTAAGCTAAAGTAGAGGAAGTTTGATGCATCACTATCACGACCTTCAGCATGTTAGCGTTTAGCTCAAACTACCACAGAGTCAAAACAATTGTCACTAACTGTATTCTGATTCTTACTGCTGCACTTCTGTAATTTACATTTTGAAAATAAACTTTTTACAGCCAGGTGACAAGTTAAAGGAAAATCCTGGATTGATGATTTGAGAAATGAAATGCATCCAGATGCTTCCAGATATTTTTATAAAAATCTGTATCATGTAAAATGAACAGTGATGTCTGTTGGGAGAAGATGGAGGTTTGTAGAGTTACGACATAAACGAGGTGACAGAAGACTGAAATGAATCCAAACAGCAGGAGCATCGATACGCAGAAGCTTTAACTCACTCACCTGATTTATGATGAATTAAATCCCGGTTCCGGGTGCAGACCAGGACCGAGGACTGAAATTCTAGTCTAACTACAGAACCAGGACAAGATTAATGAGATAGTAAGGAGAAGAACGTCTCCAGGGAAAGAGGCGTTAGATCAGCTCAGAGCTTCTGTGATGGTTGTTCTCCTTCTATCCCGTTAACATGTCTGTTCCTGATGTTCACGCCGAGTGTTGCTTCCTCCCCAGATGAAGCTGCAGGCAGCGTCCAGGACAGCATCCCCATCACTCCCATCACTCCCATCACTCCCTTCAAGGCCTCCGTCTCCTTCGCTGAGTCCAGTCAGGTGAGCGGCAGCGCTGGTTACTGCACAGGGAACTTCCTCAGGTTGCCTTCTGAGCCGCAGGAGGACGAGTACTGCGGAACATAAAGCAGCGAACATCTGGAAACGGGGGACTGTTTGAACTATTTATACCAGACTGAGAAAGATGTTGCTCTGGGTCAGATGAAGGATGTTCTGCTGCCACCTGCAGGACTTCAGCTGCATCTGACCTGATCAGCTGAGACGGTATTAATCTTTATGAAGGAGCTTGACAAGTGACGGCAGCCAAGTCAGCAGCGACTCGGTCCAGAGAACAGAGATGATGTATTTATTTTTTGACTGTGATGAACCTTACAGCTCCACTGTTGTCACAAACCATTAAAAAGTTCTGTTGCACCTTCCTTGATTCTCTGTCCATCCGTCACCTCTACAGTGTCCTCTGTAAGGGGGCGGAGCCTATCCCAGCAGGCTGAGGTTCACCTGGACAGGTAACCAGTCCAGACTCACACCTAGAGACAGAGTAGAATCCCTTCATTCTATGTTCCTCATGGAATTTAAATTCATACCAAACAAACGCACAGTTTAATGAAGTTTGTCTAAAACCAAGCAGCTGTTTGTAAAGATTCTCCTTCAGCAGAATCAGATCAATAAACCGAGTCTGCATCCTTCAGTGTCCTTTAATTACTCTCATCATGTTGTAAAAGGCTTCTGCTCTGATTTACAGTTTGTGAACCCTTTAGACTTCTCAATGTTTCAGTCCAGAGAGAAGCTAAAAAGAAGCACAGTAGACAAATGAGACAAAAACAACATATTTTCTTATTTATTGACGAAACCGATCCGGTGTGAACCTCAGCAGTCAGGCTCAGGCGCAGCAGTAAATTCATTAACTGTGTTTAGTGGATCAGTTCTGTGTTTCCTCACATGATCTTCAGGTTCTACAATGTTTCTATCAGAACCAGATCATCCTCCACAGCAGTCAGAGCTGCTGCACCTGGTCAGAGGCTCCTCACGTTCCTCCACAGACAAACTCACACTCTCAAGTTTGTTTTTGAGGAAAATGGATTTTCTGCTGGATTACATTAGTTTGGTTCTAATCCCACTGCTTCCCTCCTGTTCAGCCAACCAGTGATGTATGTGGTGGGCCATGTCGCCGTGGTAACCCAGAAAATGGAGGAGATGTTCACACCAGGGGCCTCATTTATCATCAGTGCACAGAGAAGGTTCTAAATTCTGTTGTGAAATTTAGAGTGCATAAAAATCTGTGTTTATCAAATGTGCACACGTGGGTTGTATCATCAGTAAGTCATCAGTGTTTGTTCTTAACCTCCATCTCGTCATGTTGCTTCAGAAACGCCTCCAAATCACCACATACGGCAACAACAGAGAAAAGGGCCACAAAGAGGAACTTTTCAGAAATCGAGCTACTTGTCAGCGAGGTTGAAGTTAAATAGAAAGTGTTTGGTGCATAAATGTTGGGATGAGCAGCGAAAGGAGAAACGCTGCCTGGAACAAGATAACCACCACAGTTACTCCTGTTGGTCAGAGGACAGATCGCCGGCAGAAATAAAATATTAAAAACAAAAAAAAAAGTGGTTTGATGTCAAGCTCAGCGCCAAAAAACGCATCACAGCCCATAAAAGAGAACTGATGCAACTGGAGGAGGACGAGTTCATACCAACGTCCACCCAGTGGATAACCCTGATCACTGCAGATGACATGTTTAACCCCTT